AGCTGGCTGTCCTGCCACTTGTTCGATTGCCAAATTAAATGGCCAATTTAGCAAAAATAGGCGCCCATTTGCGAAAATTTTTTTCACAGTGGGGCAGCCGGGGCCAAAGTGATGACATACCCCGCCTGAGCCCCACCATGCCCAAGGGGCATGGCGGGGCCCGGAGGGGCTGGTGTTTCAAGGGCGGGTTTAGATCTGAGATCATATTAAAAAACCATTAAAAAAAGAAGTGTTCAATAAAAACTTTCATGTATCTCTGAAAATAGTACGTGCCCTAAAATTTGTACTGGGGAAGAAATGCATACGATCTGCCGCTGGCCTCTCCATTTGTGTAGAGCTGCCAAGATCAGATCATTTTGGAAGTGAATATACTGTAATAGTGTCTACTGACAGGAAGTTTAGCTTGGAGATCCAAACATGTCGAAAACCAATGACTGTGTGAGTCTGATTGGTTAATGATGTTAGGAAAGGATGAATTCAGTATGGGCAACGGGGTATTATCTCATCACAAAATGCTCGCAATCTACATATTCACTTTTATGAATTATTTATTTGTGCGTTTTTGTTTAGAAAACTGTACTTTTATATCCTTTTAATAACATGTGGAGATCGTTTTCATGAGATCAGTTATTGGTGAGGGTGTATTGAATAATTTTAACAAAGTTTAAATGTGTTATCAAAGATTATTTGACCTTGCTGTATCTAGGCCGCATTTTCTATTTTGACGCCTTTCCAGTTCGTGCCATTCACTTTCCAAATGTGCGTTAATAATTCTCCTTTATTGTCGGATGATCTTGCTAAATGTGATAGCATTATGTGTTTTCATCAGTATATCCCATAAGCTTAGATTGCTGAGACACTTTTGGTGCCGGTTTAGCTGGTTTTGAAAGCAGCTATAAAAACAGCAAACAACAGTTGCCTCTTTTAAATAGATCCTGAAGGTTTCTAGGGTCCAGTTAGAGAAAAATTTTCCTCAAAAATTTTTCAATTTTGTTCAAACAAACGACAATAGAGTTATTGTTATGTAAGTGAACGGTGAAATAAAACCCTTGAATATCATAACTGCAAGAATTCCTATATTTAAATATAGGAAGCGGGAACAACAGCCAACAAGGTGAGTTTGTTCCCTTTTCAGATAAGTATACACATTAATATAGTCACAAAAGATTCGTTTTTGCTATAAAAATGAAATATCACAAAAATTGGACTAAAAGGGAAGTAGAAACAACTGCAATTCTTACACCTCTACAAGCATTATTCGACAGAATCCCACTTGAAGTGTCAAGAAGGACTGAATTAGCTTCAAAGCATGTAGACGATGTGGTGTATTTACCGTGGCGAACGCCCCCCAGCGTTAGCAAAGGTTCTTTTTAAAGAACGTTTGCTTTAACAACCTTAAGCAAAAATATACCCTGCCAGCGCCAGCCCCTAATTGCCTCGGGGGGGTGGGGGAATCCGTAACCGACCGACATAAAATGAATGTAAAAATGTTTTGAAATCTATTTTTATGTCAAAAGCTTATCAATAACCATTATTTTGCGCCTTGTTTTTTGTTCAAATCGGGAGTAAAAAGGAGAAAAATAGGAGCACACTCAACGAAGATATTTTCCAAAGGCGGGGTAATACGGATTGAAATCCCCATCCTCCCGTCCCGTCTAGTTCCTCGGATTGTCCCTTTCCCAGTCCCGCCGAATCCGGAGCCGTGGGCGTGGAAAAATCAGATGAATTTCAGGAATACCTAATTCTATATCAAATACGACCGTAATTTTTAAATCTATAATTCAAGAAGGAAAATGTTCTATCCCCAAAGCTTGATGATGACAAGCCCAAGTTTAATTTTATTAGCGAAATGATAAGTGAGCCCATTATTAATTTAATGGGACATGTCCCATAGCTAGTAAAGGTAAGTGAAATGCACATGGAGCGCACCAGCGATTCCATGTGGAAATTATCTCTCAGGCCAACAGGTTAAGTAAAGCATAAAAATCGATTTAAAACCCGAAGTAATAAACAAATTATCCGTTCCTTGACCGAAGAGAATTCTCTATTATGTTTCATAACCTTTTGGCACCGCCTATTTAATGGGGCACTGTGTTTATAGATAAGTAACTAGCATGTATCCTTCACAACTGCTATGATGTTTTAACCCGTAACAGTCCTACATCAGTTAATGAGTCCCTGCTTGTATTAATTTAAGAAAAGTTGATTAGTAGAAAAAGTTTGGAGATAACCAGTAATATTTTATTTTTCTTGTCTTTTTTTAAAGAAAACTTCAGCAAAAAACCAAAAAACCCAAAGATAGAAAGAAAATGGTTAACCTTGAACAACATCGGTAAAATATATATCCCGTTAGTTACCTTTAAAGGCAAGGAAAGACCCCAAAGGACAAAAAGAACAAAGCATTTTGGGATCAAAGCCAAATTCGGAAGCGGATCTTTGAGGGATATGTATTGTGTCAACATAAGGTAAATTTTCTTCAAAATGTTTATTTCTAGGACTTTAAATCTGCCAGGGTGCATATCTTAATGCTCGTCAGAGGAGCTTACATCAGTAGATGTGAATTTCCGAGTGAAGGAATTCCCCAAAGTATTTTGGACAGGGCTATCTCAAATATGGAATGTTATGCCAAACTGGGGATGATTTTGCAAAACGATTTTGCATTGAAACAGGATACCACAATTAATCTGACGGCTTTTGTTGAGAAGCAAATAAGAAGGGATATCTTACAGCTTGAAAAATCGGCCGAAAGGTCCACGCTTCTAAAAGGTATGCAGAATTCTGCGTTTGAAACACTTTTTAGGATTGAAGTGTGGTTATCTACTTAACTCGCTCCTATGGAAATCTGCAAGACCAGAAATGGTTAGAGGAAATTTTAGTTTTCACATTTATTTTTCTGTAGGCAACAGAAGGTTTTTTGTGGCTCTCAGGATTTTTATTTCGATTGTTCGCTGCAAATAACCAGATTGAACGCAATTTCGCCACAAGAACAATGCTTTCTACCAGTTCATTATTATATCAACTTAGAATGAATGTCGAAGCTGAGGTGAGTGTTTGACGGAATTTTACACGGAAATTCTCCTACCAGTCACTAAGACAACACCCATTTATCACAGAATAAGCCCGTTGCGTATACTAAAAATTCTAATTTAAAACACTTTTTATTTACTCGTCCGTTGTAATACATGTTTGGTTAATTTCTCCAGGTTATATTTCTAAACAACCTTGCCAATTTTAACGTTTTCTCTTTTTCAGTCAATTTCTCGAGAATTTCTCTCTCTGATAGCTAGTTTGATCAACACTGAGTCAAAGCACGTTGACGAGAAGAATATTCGCTCGGCGGTTTCCAAAGTAAGACTCGGAAATTCCAATGATATTGGAACATTTGCTATGGGTATTTTTGCTAGGTGCCATTCCTATGCAAACCAATTTTGTTTTAGTGGTAGAGTATTCGTCCTAAGCGCATAGGTACTGAGATATCCACCTTTTAGCTCCAGAAAAAGGTTGATTAATAATTGATGAATGACGGCGTTTTTGCCAAAAACTCATATTCTGGTTTGCTTTGGCTTTATCTATAGAAAGTGTGAACTTCTAATCCCTCACTGTGTGGGCTCTGGACTAACGAAATATAAAGGCCCACGTCAGTCCTTTAAAAAGGAAAGATCAGTGGAGGCATCTCGTATATAACTAGACGTCCCTGCAGTACCCTTTAAATTTTTCTGGGGTCACAAAGCCATCAGAGGAAACACGAAGGAGAGTTCCAAAACGCCACCTAACTGCAGGAAGTATTCAGAAAATTCCGATTACGAATCATCGTGCATAAAAATAACAACCAATAATCAATCGAGTAGAAATGTAGATTGCGGTGATCATTTAATTTTCCGTAACCAGGGCAACGCAGAGTTGGAACGCCGATTCCATTCACCTTGAGTCAGCTGCTCTACGGGCTAGGCCACGAAATGAGGCTACTTAAAGGTCCCAGAAGAATTGAGCTCACTTCTTAGTAGTCAAAAAAAGTCCTCGTAATCTCCATCGCCGTTGTTCGTAGTTCTCATTGAAACATAGAAGAAAGGTTTAGAGTTTACGTTCACTTGACATCAGGATCGAGTACTGATCAAACATATTCTTTGCATGTAGTTAAAAGCAAACTTCAGAGGCCAGCGCATCCGAAACGCATGAACCAAGTAAGCCCTAAATAAGCACATCCACTTGAAAGACCTCAAAAAAATTATAAATGAAAATAACAAGCTCGACTTCATTGATCATTTAAGAATGTTTGCATAATTATGCCTAGTCAAAACCCTCGTTAGACAATTGAAGAGCAACGCTTCGTTCTCTTTTTCCGCCTTTAAGCTCGCTTTTCCAATTTTTCGCCGAAGCGTATTTGAGTCAAGAAGATCTGTTAGGGGGATCTTCCGACCACGAGTCAAAAACGACCTAAAGTCGACATTTCAGGTAAGGTTCTTGTATTTTTGATACGCATTTGATTGTTAAATTACCTAATCCTTCAAGGTCCAAAGTTGCCAGATGATCATTACTTATTTTGTTTAACCTTTTCCTTGTTTAATTTTTTTCATATATTATTTTCGGCAAATTATCTCCCTTTAAATTTACTTCGCCACTTCTTGGCTTATATCTATATTCTCTGTAGCAACATATATCGTGTGTAATAGAATAATGCGTCATGCATTTAGGGACTCAAACATGGCACTAATTACCAGTTTTATCTTAGCCCAAGAAATCTTGTTCGGCTAATTAATGCAGCGATACTGCGACTAGGTACTGTGTATGTAGGCAAGTTCGGACCTCGGGGTCTCCATTCACGGGGTTGGGTATGGCTGGCCGCTGACATAGGAATTTTACATCCCCCTATGACAGACGACCTTGCGCTACATTTCAGGGTGGTATTTATTTTCGTGAACTAATTCTAACCCTAACCTCCCCTGAAATTCAGCGCACGGTCACCCGCAATGTGGGTTCATCTATCTCTGCGTCCTATTATCCGGATTATGCACACAGCCATGCATAGCATCGTTCCCTCACCCTTGCGGAAGAAAGCACTTCAGTATTCACAAGGATGCACTTGCACATCATTCCTTCCGCTCCTCTCGAAAGGCAACCGATGTTTTCATCCGAAATTCCTACTGCCTCCTCTTATAGCAAAATTTGTTCAGAAGAACCTAATTTCTCCGTTAGGACGGTTATTTGCCTTTATTTAGAGTAGACTTCGCCTGCAATGTCTCATCTACTCTATAGGACAGATGAGCTTCCTGTTCGATCGGCTACTTTGCATGCTTTGCACTTATATCTGAATTATGTCATTCCTAGAATCAATGGCCCAGGAATCCAACAGAGAAGCTAATTTCTGCCTACTTCGAGCGCCCGCTGGATCAGTTTGTGGCAGTACTGGAGGCTCTGCGGTCAGTGCTGGCGGCTGCACCAGTTTTCGCCAGTGTCGAGGCAATAAAAGCTGTCCTGGATACCAACGTCTGCGAGGTCATCGAGGAACTGTTCTTGGCTGGTTTCAGTATCCTATGCCGTAAGTGAGAACTGAGCTGTATGGTCTGCGCTGCACTGGAGTCGGCGACGCAGTAAGCTATGCTAAAATTTGCCGTCCAGGAGATCCACGATTGTTTTTTTCATAAATGAGTACTTGCCAGCGACTGATTTCATGAGATTTTAACCAGAATTCTGAAATGAGTCTTCGAGTAGGAAAGCTGACATGGATGGGGTTGGACGGCCGATCCTTTCGCGACAGGATCGCATAATACTTCAGATACGCCAGAATGCCGGCTTTCGAATGCATGACATATTGATCAACTGCAAAAGCTAGACTTGGTCAAACACGACTACTTAAGTATGATGCCTTCTCCCTATTGGTTTTCGGTACCTTTCTTAATTCAAATATATTTTGTAGGGTACAAATGTATTTATAGGTCCTTTTTGCCCTTGATTTATAACAATGACCTACTTTCACGTTTGTAGTAACCCGACTTTCCCTTTTTTCGTTAAATTCCGCTAATATTAGGTCGAATTTCCCCTTTTTCGTTGACTTACACCAATATAAGTTTGATTTACCCTCAGTTGGCATCACTTTCGTGAGCAACAGGGGTTTGTGTGGGTGGATTTGATCTTATTAAGTGCATTTAAACAAGTATAAATTGCTTTAATATAATATAGTTAGTTCTTTTGCAAAACAATTAAATATGAATTTACACTCTCTAACTAAGAATTAAATGGTAGATCACAAATTACTTTGGACACTTCGGCGGGGGAAATATATATGTGGGCGGCCCAAAAAGACATTTTTGCCTTTTACAGAATACGCGAGTTTAAATGCTCTTTCTTGTATTCATGTGGTAGCACAGCACATCGTCTTCAACTTTTATACTCAAAGAGAGGGAATATGTAGGTTTTGAAAAGTTTTGCAATTCTCGAACAAGTTTGGGTCCAATGTGCTGTTGTATTTGCGTTTAGGATTTAGAGTCTACAAACTACATGATTTCGGTGTAACCACTGGTATGCATTGCTCTATTCTATCAAGGAGATGCGACATAGTACTCATAAAACTATACAATTATGTTGACCATGTTATATCGATTTAGGAAAAGACGCATTTCGTCCGCGTTAACCCACTTTTTACTTCAATATACTGGTCTAAACTAAAATCTTTTCTAGAATTAACAAAATGAACAGCATCACATGCTTGTTAAACCACCGCGCAAATTCATCTGCACAGTTCATTAGTTAGGCAATCTCCTGAACTTTGTGAAGGCCACTAATAAATGCACAGATGCAATTCGAGTCGAATGTATATTGTGTAGTCCATGAACATCTCCTCGTTGGAGACTTTTTAAAGCTTAATAGATATTTTTTTACGTAATAATTTGAAGGGAACGCCATTTTTACCCTACCAAGTATAAGAAAAAGTATTTTTGCCTGCGCTTTCTATAAAATAGACCTGAATGTATAAGGGTCCTAAAAATCCATAGAAATAAGGCACCCCACGTAGGTAGTCCTGTTTTATTGAGTGCAGTTTTTGTGGGCGACTGCAAGGACATACCTTCAAAAGCTGGCATTATAGCGTATACGAAATATCACGGGATTGCGCCGCAAGATTAGGGGGTGAGAGTACCTACCGGGGCCGCAGAAGGGTCCTTGTGTATTATAACAACCTACTTGCAAATTGTAAGAAGGTTGAATTACCCAAAATCTTCCAGTTTTCTGCATGCCGGCCGTCGACCCAGTAGGGGTTGGATGGTGGCATTGAACGACAGAGGGGTTCTCGGAAGTCTACCGCATACAATAACCGCGTAACTGGCTTTTCAAATTAACCACGGGAATAATCGCTTGCTTAAAAAATTCAAGTAGGGTGATCTCCACAATCTTCCAACTTCTGCACTCGTTAACCTTTATTTTAGTTGGGTTAGTGGAACTACTAGAAAATAGACCTCAATGACCTCACCCGAGGTTAGGACACACTCGCCCTACATACACGCACTCGCCGTTGCTCCGATGGGGGGTAAGCGATGATATTAAAGCGTACTTCAGTGTCCCCGCCCGAGGTTTGAGTACGCGACCTAACTTACCTCGTAACGTTTTTATTTTACAGGGTTATTGCGAACTCATTTGTTCCCTGACATGCCCCATCCGTCTTCTCCCCCACTATTAGGAACCCGTAAGACCGAGGGGCGCGCATCGCGCCCTACCACAGATACTCCTACCGATTAGGTATATTTCAACCCCACTTAAATAACCTCTCCTGATTGGTAACGAACTAAGGATAACGGTATATGAGATATATCGCTATCTTTACGTGTCACATGGATACCTGGACCACGGATTTAACAATGAGACGAGTTTCATTTGCAGGCCAATATTTGCAGTGGCGCTTTAGGTGCCACGTGTCAGCCAACAAGCAGCAAGCTCTTCGAAAATGAAAATAACTTTTCAGCGTTCAGTGCTTTGGATTCCAGATGTGGACTTTGCATGATGCGAAGAGGTGCACCCACTTCTCTTCTTTCAAATACTATCGCTTACACAAAAATCTTACATTTTGTCATTTTAGCCAACCAACATCACACACTCGCCCGGTTCCGTGGGATCTACGAAAACTCTCAAAAATCTGAGGAAGGTCCCGAGAGCAGGCTGATGCTGCTCGATTTTAAAGCTGTCGATGCATATGCATACGCAACTCCTGATTTCCTGATGAATGCATTTGACGAAGAAAGTGATGTCCAATCTGATGCTCCTAACCCGGTGCCTCGGACGAATTTACGCGGACTGCTAGATTTCATGAAAATGTGTTTGGCGTATGATCAATATGACATCTTTGAGTGTCTGCATGATAACGCAAACTATTCGCTTAAGGTGAATTGATGACACTGTTTAAATCAACATTAGTAAAAGCAGGCAGTAGTTCAGTATAACACCCATTTCGCCCGTATTTTTTTTCGAAAACGATTTTTACGAATTCTAACTTTCGATGTGCGGGTGGTGAGAAAACGATAAATATTTATCATAAGACACTTATAATCCGTATCATTTTCTATGTACATGCATGTGCCCGATGATGAATTACAGAAAACTGATGTTTGCCCAATTACCTGTTTAAGTATTACATGAAAATTCTAGCGGAACTTAAATTATTCCTAGTTCGGTGTTTCTGCTTTTGAAAACAAGACTTAATTTTACATGAGATAAACTCGAAAATGCCAATAGAGGAGAATATGCGAGTTCCAGGAAGCAGATCGGAAGAAGATGCGATCACTGGAACCAA